CTTGAGATTATTCTGTGGAGTGAAGGAAAGACTAATTTGGCAGCTCTTATTAAAAAAAAAACGTAAATTGCAGACTTAAGAAAATAAGGAAATACAAGAGTTTGAAATAAATTTAATGCTTTAAATATTTCACTGACAGTAAGATTTGTAGTAAAGCTGACACACAGTTAAGGAGTGTTTTTTTTACTGTATAATTCGGGGTCAGCTCACCTACATCACTTATCTGCCCTCTCTTACCTGCTGCTACAATTTGCCTATTTTCTATTTAATCTCATCTTGCATAATGTTGTATCAGGGCTCAATGAAAGTTTCATCAGTACATTTTGTTGCACTTTTGCTGTTTTATTTGCAGTTTTTCAGTTTGATGTTTTATTCAAGTGAGCATTTTTTGGACTCTTTTTAAGTTTTCAAAGTTAAACACACAGTAGTATAAACGTGAAAACAGAATATCTGATCCAAAATATAGAAAATATTCAACCAGTCAAAAATCAAAATCAAAAATACTGCAATGTGAGTTGTCATACATGTATAGAAAAAGACACAAGTTTGCAAAATATAATATTTACACATAAAATGTATCATTCTATTCAAAACAATTCAAACAAAAAAAAAAAAAGAAAATAAATAAAAGAAAATAAAATAAAGGGGTGGTGGTGGGGGGACTGGGAGGATTTAGAAGGATGTCAGATTGACCATGTTATGTGTCATTTAAACTGGGCTTGTTAGGGGAGGAACTAAGTGCATCTTTTGCATCAACTGTGCATTTTTATGTCATGTTTATTGCACACTCCACTGTGTAATATCAAATTCTCTGATGCAAGTTTGAACATGGAGTTGTGTCATCTTGCACCTGTAAACTAAATCAAATGTTCTCCACATAGGCTAATTTTCCATTCAATGAGTATTACACTGTACAAAATAGAACAACGCTATACTATGGGGCTGGCCAATATATTGATATTGGGATATGGAACTAAATATTGTATTACATTTTAGATATTGTTTCTTTTTAATCCTAAGGCTTAATAGCATTTTTAGCTTAACTATATATATATATTTTTTTTATGTATGTGTGCTGTTGTGTGCAGGGATATGTGTGTATTTAAGCCCAACCACAAATGAAGATCCCTAATGGGAAAATAAAGTTCTCTTGACTTGACTTAACTTTTTCCCCTGGTTTTAAAGGCTGCATTACAGTAAAATGATTTTGATGAATTTTCTGAACTTATCAGACTGTTCTAGCTGTTCTATTATTGTTTACCCACTTAGTCATTATATCCACATTAATGCTGATTATTTATCAAAAATCTCATTGTGTGAACATTTTGTGAAAGCACCAATAAATCGAGCTGTTCACATTTCTCTCTTTCTGGCAGTAACGGCCCACAAGCCTCACCGCACTTTAGGGACTGTTCTTTACTTATGAAGGGACTTGTCAGAGGAGGAGGGAGGCTGGTTGATTCTTATTTTATTTATTTATTTTATTTTGATCCCCTCATGTTAATCACTTATTGGTGCTGTTTTTGAAGTATGAATAAGTCAGTAAGTAATTTATTCCATTGAAATATCATTGATGTATTATAGAGGAGTGATTTATCTTTTTATAAATGACAAAAGGCACATCTGCCTCATTTTCACTGTGGTATTGTGATACTACTCAGAACCATGATATTTTCATTGGTATCGTACAGTGTCAGAAATTAGCAAGGGCCACAGGCCAAATTTGGCCCGCAATTTATCCAAGAATGCCCCCAAAAGCCATGTTCTGGGGGCCAAAATTGCCCCCAAGTTTTCGAAACAACTATATGTATTTATATTTTTACCGGTATTACAATCTGACATTAAAGTATAATTTTATTTTCATTAAATTAATTTACCGTCCAGTCTACAACTCATTTTTTACATGAGAGTAATCTGACAGAGAAGGGGAGGGGGCTTTGCTGTACCATAAGTATAAATTAACCATTTCTTGGGTGATCTGTGTCTACACAATGACAAATTAATGAAAAATTAAGGTAGAATGAATGTTAAATTTTAAATTAACTTACTTCCAGGATAGCATCTAAGGAATTTATAGTAATTTGGCCTTTTTAACAGTAAAAGTAACTGTAATGTGGTGAAACATTAGTACTGCTATCAGTAGATTAATGGTTAAATCATCACATTTAAACTGGTTGAATTATAGGAAATCTGAGTGATATTTTGCAACCATAACTTTATGTAACCTATTATTTGTTTCATTTATAGTGGTTTCTACTGAAGAGTGAAGACACTGTCTTAGTTGGTTTTGCTTTTCATGTGCTTATTGTTAGAACATAATTACAATTTTTTGATGGCCCCCAAACATTTTGAAAATGCCCCCATTTTTTAGACTGTGGGGGCCAAAATTGCTCCCAAAATATTTTGTTAATTTCATACCCTGCTGGAGGGGGTTCATCTGCAAAAACTAATGAAAAACTAAACAACAATATTCAGTATTCAGTACTCGGTATTCGGCCAAGCGTTTAATATTATTCGGCTTCGGCCACAAATTTTCATTTCGGTGCATCCCTAATCTGAGTACTGATATATCTCCCAGTCCTATTATAATATAATGGCCATTGTAAACTCCTGCCTTCAAATGACTCAAATTTGTTCAGTTAAATTACTGGTACAAGCTCTGTCTTGCTCACAGTTACAATTCAACTGTGACATGATGTAATGGGAAGTAATCTCACATTGTGAAAGCAACATAGACACAGTGTACAGTCTGTCGCGCAAAACCGCCCTGTGCAAGCTAAACACATTACCTGTCTATACTGGAAGGAATCTTTCAATTTATTTGAAAGAGATCAGAAAGGGTTAAGATCCAGTTAGAGCCTGAGGCAGTCTGTTTAGGAGAGGCCATAACCTCGCTCATAGGCCCCCTTTAAACTGACACAGTAGAAAATTAACATGATAAACCTGTGCGGAAGTCATAAATGTCAACATCTGAGGATATGAATGCCGCTCGTTTCCTCTGTGAATATCAAAACGTTTTTTTCTTTAAATATAGCTTTCCATTTATTTACTTATCTAACGTTACTCAAAGGTAATGAGACAGCCAACTCACCTCGGCTCCTTGTGTTACAGCTTTGTGTCCTTTGCTGGCTCTGGTACAACTTTGACGGATTTTACAATGACGTCCCACCTGTCAATATATTGTTTATTTTCCAATAAGTTTCTCTACGCAAAGCTTTGTACAAGTCACAAGTTATGTTTTATAAAAATGACACATCAATCCTGTACTCTTTACAACCTACATTCACAGCGAGGGAGAAAATCTAATCTGGCGCTAAACGAAGGACCCCGCTGTGTTGTCAAAGTCCTGCTGGCTGCCCAACCATCTGCCTGACTGAAAAAATACATTTCTGTATCGTAGGATGACGTTTCGACCCAAATACAAGAACAAAATTTCTTTTAAGTAACTATAATTATGAGATAAATATATATTGAGCGATATATCTTTGCTGATATTGATTTTGTTGCCATATTTTGCCAGGGGGAACCCAGGAGTCTAAACGGCGAGACAGCCACAGAGGCTCTGAGCCGTATCGTGTATTTCGCCCTGAGCTTTAGCTCCCAGGGACACATTCCTTTGTAGTGGCTGCAGCTCGCTTGGGTTTACAGACTGTGCTGTCAACCATGTCCAAACACAGACCACAACCTTGGCTGCACCGTTACAGACCTTTAACAATCTTAATAGCTGGGGTTAGTAACCTAGGAGGAAGTGTGCCTGCAAGACTATATTTAGGGTTAAAGCACAAGCTATTGCATGAAGATCTGTCCCTGATCTGGGGAACAAATTAAAGGTTCAGGGGGTGGAGCGACTTGTGGGAAGTTATTTATCTTGTGTGCTAATTATAATACCATCATTTAATAATATTATGTGTGCACAGGATTAAGAATATGACCTTTTGTGACTTTAGGGGCACCATAAACTTTTGCTTTATGCACACTACTGGAGTTTGAATAGGTCCTATAGTTATTGGATGATGGAGTATGTTTTTGTTTGTTGAAAAATGATACAATCTTGGTTCAAAAAACAAAAAAACAAAAAAGTTGGGTAGTGAATACCACCACTAGGAGTCACCAGTCACAAATTTATATCATGTTTAATATAGGGGTGTCAAATATACGGCCCATGGGCCAGAATTGGCCCGCCAGAGGGTCCAGTCTGGCCCACTGAATGACATAGCATACCTAATGTTGATGCACTTGTAGAGGCTAAGAGGTGCCAGGTTTCAGGAGCAAGTTAAACAGTTAGTAGCCTTCATGACCAGAATACAGCTCTCTGAAAAAATAAGAAATACTTATTGTGGTCATATTTTAAGATAGTGAACATTGTGCAAAGTATTGTCAATCAGCAGCTTAAGTAGCTTCCACTTTAGTTTGGTGTGTCGATGCCAGCATTTCTGCACAGGGGTGGAAATAAATGTAAAAATGCACATGTAACGACAGTGAGTAGTAGACTGACTGAGTGTGGAAAAACTCGGACATGTTAAAATTGCACTTATTTTTCTTAAGCCATCTTAGGCTGTTCATCATGTGGTTGTAAATGGATATTTTCCAGAATGTACAACAAAACAAAGGGACATTTTATAGGTGGTGCTATTTATAAGTTACTATACAATGGTTTTACTGGTCTTGCCCACTTGAGAAAAATTGGTCTTTATGCGGCCCATGAACTGAAATAAGTTTGTCACCCCGGCCTAAAACATACAAGTACACCAGTAGTATTTCTCCCTTTAAGAGGTAGAACAATCACACACCACAGCACCACATTATACTGTAACATACTATTTCCAAAACAAGGCTTTAAATCATATTTTTGATCTCTACTGCACACTGTGACAGGGCTACCTATTATAATGTTGGCACAAGTTGATATCCTTTAAGGCAGAGGGATGCCACATGCTTGTTTTTAAGACTCTAGATGCAGTATCAAGTTCATGTCCAATTAAAAAAAAAAGCCCTTCAGGTTTTCTTATATCACAGTATGTCTAAAGACATACAGAAATTTGCAGATTATTTTATTTCCATTCACAGAGGTACTGCATGGAATCAAAGGACCTTTATAATGTACACACTACAGAATCAGCGGGTGTCATATATAGTGATAGGTTGATTAACAAGTTAAATATATTACGTTCTGATTACCAGGTGTCATCTGCAGAGTCAAAATAAAATATTTCTCTTCATATTAAAGTGCCTACGTGGTGCATGCTCCCACCAACACAGTCATGAGCTAAAATACCCTTTCCAAGCTAAAAATATAGAAAGAATCTCATTTTAATTTGACGAGAAAACCTTCAAAAAATAAAGCATTCAGCAACCAAATACTTGGTAAACAAACTTGACTTGTAAATGCTGAACGTACTTAATGAATGTGTGCATGACAGGCAGAAAGCACCAACTTATCAAAGGGTTCGAGCACTTTCTCTTTTCCTTTCAGTTGTTACAGTGACAAACAGACTATGTGCCAGATGACGCCCCACAACACTTTGTTCCATTCTAAATCTTCATCCTCAAATTTCACAAACTAGACACGGCCAGTAGTTTTTAGAAGTACCTTCAATACATTTTTAAATCCTGCTACTTCAATTCTACCAAAAGCAAGGTGTTCCCGTCCTAGAATGAGTGTTACTGAGTTGATCATGGAACTATGGCAGGTTTTCTCAGGGATCCGAGAAGAGGTACAGGTAAAAGCAGAGGAAGACTCAGATTAAGGTGCTAATGTAGCCGCTGTTGCTGTGGGTGCTTGTAAAGATGGAGGTCTAGTTGATGCAGTCCATGATGTGGATCTGCAGAGAGTCCAGGTCTGGCAGGATCTCGTTGCACTTTGGACACGCGTGTTCGGGAATATTTCCCCCCTGCCAGTCTGTACCTGCGAGACAGAGACACTGATCACAACCTGAACATGCTGAATGTGACAAATGAACTGAGCCATTGATCCTGCATTTCCTCCCAGACTGTGTGTTGTCACAAGTTCCACCAAGCACACATTTTATTGGCCATACTGTCAAGATGATGAGAGGTAGATGAGAAGATTGATAGCACACTCATGACTGTAGGCTAACTAGGAGGCTAGAGACAGCAGCCGGTTAGTTTAGCTTAGCATAAACACTGGAAACAGAGGAAAACAGCTTGCCTGGCTCTGTCAAAACCAGGCCCCCAGAAAATGTGCTGTGCTTCTGAGGCCATTTTTCGTAGTGGCCAAACAGTGGAATTACATCCTTTATGTGATGTCATTTGGCCCATTGACTTGCATGTTTGAATAGCCTTCTGTACATCAGTGAATACATTTTTTGAGCATTAAAACCCCAAAAAATGGCTTCTTTCACTATCAGAATTTGATTAGTTCGGTCCAATAGCATTTGGAAAGTCTAGAAGAGCTGCACAAATTCATTATTTCATTCCCACTTAGTTAGCAGAGTGCTAAACCAGAAGTAGCCAGCTCAACAGGTGGAGGTCTCTATTGCACCACCTCTATGGGCCACACATAAGCCTCTATCACCAACTTAGAGCCAGTTCCACTCTGGTTCCTGCACCTAAATTTGAACCACTCACAGCATTTTGACCAAAAATAAATTAGTTAGGAACCCGAAAAGTTGGTTCTCAGCTGTTGGTTCAATAGCAGGTTTTTCTTGAGCTAAACTGTGAATTGTGATGACATCAGTAGGCATGTCATATTCTACAGGACGGAAAGACAAGATGATTTGCCACAGCTGTTTGCTTACGATGATGCCGCATTCTCAACGACAATGGTTCTGCTCAAACCTGGTGGAAACTTGGGCTGGTTCACTAGATAGCACCAAAGTTCCGAAAATCCAGAACAGAGCCAGTTCAAGAACCAACACTAATTTGGTGGAAAAGGGGCGCCAGTGCAGAAGTAGGGACAATTATCTGGGTAATTTTATATGCGGTAGATTTTTTTGCTTCATGTGCCGCTAACAACTTTCACACAAATGAACGGGGCCCTGCCTCAAATTCTGTATCCAGCTCTCTTTTTACATCTATGGTCAAAAGGAAAAACTAATTTGTTTAAACTAATCATATTAGATCATGTTTTGTCAATCCACACAAAACTGAAATGCAATTTTTTTTCATGTTGAGTTAAATACTGGAAAGATTTATTGGACAGCAAGTGACTTCCTTGAGTCTTGCCTAGTGTAGAACCCTTGTCAGTAACCTCCACAGTGACAAGAAGACTCAATGCTAGGTGTTCCCCTGCTTCCAGTCTCTTTGACTAGGCTAAGCTAGTCTCGCTCACCAGACCTTTCTCAAGAAAAGAAAGGTCTGGCTGGGCCGACTCTCACTTTAAGATTGGAGAAAAAAACGCCCCGGCTGCTTGTATTTCTTTCAACCAATCACAATCGTTCTGGGCGGTGCCACAGCAACGGTGCGCTTGCAAAAATATTGCCGGGGGGAAACAGTTTTTGGTGTAATACGCCCACAAAAATATCGCCTACAGGATGCGAACCATGACAGAAAAATGGCTACATCCCTGCAAGATCAAACACCACAAAAGTTAGTAAAGGACGTGTTGAAAACTGCAACCGGAGGTGGTAGGGCGGGACTTCAGCGGGTGGCTCGTTCCGCCCAATGAGAGGCTGATCTATGCAGCAAACTTCCACCCACTCATACTAAGGCTAAGCTAACTGTCTTCTGGCTCTAGCTTCATATTTAGCACACAGACATCATAAATCTCCTCATCTAACTTGGCAAGAAAACAGATCAGCGTATTTTCCCAGTATGACAGGCTAATCTTTTGAGGCTCTATCAACCCAGGTAAAAGTCCTAGTGCTTGGAAGGCTCTACTCAGGACATAAAAAAGGCATGTTTACTTCTTCCAACCAGAGCAGCACCAGCTCCTAGTGGATTTCCTCCCAGTGACACATGTCTCCTCTGCATCTCGTTCAGTGACCGCCTGCGGAGAGACAAAAGAAAAAGAGGGCTCTCAGAAGGTGCATTTCATTTAAGGTGTAAAAGCAAGGCAGACCAATCACAGGATTGTGCAGTCGTAGATGTGATGTTGGTGCAAATTCAAAATCTAAACTACGATAACCTAACTACTGTTCCTGAACTGAACTACAGGTGTAAAAACTGGTCTTGTGTTTGACTCCATACCTGCCGAGTGACTCCATCTCCTCCTGCAGCTGGCTGTTCTGCTTCTTCACATACTCCAGCTGAGCAGCCAGACGCTCCCTCTCCTCATGGAGCTTCTCCCTCGCTGCTCGCTCTGCGTAAAAGTCTGAGGAGTAAACTTCAGCCTGCACAGAGAGAGAACAGCAAAAAGCATGACGACCACATGAAACTGAAGGGAGCCATGTTGTCATGTGGGCTTCTGATACTAAGGGTCCAACTCTAGATGCAAGTGTTAACTTAACATCAATTCGTTATACTACCGCTGACCTGAGCCTGGAACACAGATATGGTCTCCAGCTCCTTCTCCTTCTGGAAGATCTCCTGCTTCATGTGATCAATGTGATCCTGCTTTTTAGCCAGGGCCTCTTCAGCAGCAGTCAGCCGCTCCTGCAGCTGGTCCACCACCTCCTTCTGCACCAGCTGAGACTGCAAGACCAGAGGGCAAAGGTCAAACACGCCTGGCTCTCATTTATGACTGTTTCTACGCTTAGAACTGCATAAGCTTTGGCGGAAATCAACAGAATTTCTGTTGCTAAAAGGGTCCTCGTTATGCTACATAAGCTAACCTCTCTCTTCTTCTTCTCCTCTTTGAGTTCATTGTAGTCTTCAAACAGCTTGGTGTAGGCATCCTTCAGCTGGGCCAGGTTGCTCCTGTGAGGAGGGAAGGACGGGAGTCACTGGTGACTCAATGTGTGTGTCCAAATATGTGCTAATCACTACTGGGAAATAGACTCTGACGATAAAATTGGGGGTTCAAATGCAAATCAGTGTCATGTTGTATGTTTTATCTGTACTTGCTACACTTGCACTTATTATATTATTGTCAAAAAGCAATCAAAAGTTTAGATTTTAAATTTTTTGAAGAGCTAAAGCAGTTGAGATTAACATGATCCGTCAATGTCTCTGACCTCTCCTCCCCAGCTTTCCTCTGCTCCATCTGGCTCTGGGCCTGCATGCTGTCCACCTGCAGCTTCAGCCGGTCATTCTCCGACTGAACGGCCTGCTTTTCCACCAGCTGGGCCTTCAGGGTGGCCACGTCCTGCTCCACATCCCGACATCTAAAACGCAAGAGAAAAAGGAAATATGCACAGGTCAGGACTAAGCACAGGACAAAGAGAAATGTTTGCTTTCCCTTTAAAGATCCAAACAAGATTTCCCTGTAATTTGTTTAATGGAACAGGAAAAAAATGCATAACATAAGCACATTATAGGTTGCTATTTTTGTTGGCACCTTCACTAAATGGTTTGCATGATAACATTCAACAGTGTGGACATATGTGTATGTGTGGGCCTAACCTGTCCTGCAGGTTCTTCTTCATGCCTTCTGCTTCATCCAGCTTGCTCTGAGCCTGCTGCAGTTCTTTGAACAGCGTCATCATCTGAGACTTCAGATTCTCCACCTCAGATGCTGCCTGAAATATTTAACATAGCATAGTGACACATGAACGTCATGATAAGGAGAGTAGACATTACAAACATCAGTGGCAATTATGGCAACGACAAAGTCTGAGATCAACAATGGGACACTGAGATTAGACATAAAATTAGGTTCTTTAAATGTACTGTAGAATGCTACTTTAAAGGGACATAACAGATCTTTTATAGTGGGGTTGAATGAGGTACTTATCCATAGTCAGTGTATTACATATGTCAGTCAGCATACCCCCAGTTTGGAGAAGCAGACAGAAGTACCGCCACTAAGGCCAAGCAATCTACGGCTGTTATCTTAGCTCTCTGCAGAGCCACCAAACTTCATTGATAAAAAAGCAAATTTTACCTTGCAGAACACAGGAGTTGCTGGACTACAACTGCCTTGATCAGTTAGTTTGTTTGTGTTACTGTGTGACTTTGGTGTTTTAAAGGTACAGTACAGATTAACCCAAGTCACACAAAAGCACAAACAAAGTAACTGATCAAGGCAGTGGTAGACCAGCAACTCCTGTGCTCTGTGGGGTAAAATTACTGTTTTTCTCAATGGAGTCTGGTGGCTATGGAGAGAGCACAGATAACCGCATTACGTTTTGCTGCTGCCCCCACCCAGAGCAGTACAGCTGAGCAGTACTCAGCTTCTGTGGCAGTGCTCCAGCCTGCTTCTCCAAACTGGGGACATGTCCACCGCCATCTACTGTAACACAGTGACTATGGATAGCGTCCCACTTCAAATGATCCAAGCTATTCCTTTAACAACAGTGTCTGAATAAAATGCTGCTACTTTTAGTATTTTCTTGAGAAAGTAAATATCTTTACCTCTTGCCCACAGTCCTCTTTGGGCTCTGTAGTCTCTTCTTGTGTGGTCTGTGTCGATACATCTACATTACTCTTCCTCTCCTCCAGCTCTCTTATTCTGTTGGATAATTCGTTAAAAAAACATGTAAGCTGAAAAACTAACACATTTCAAGAGATGATATTAGATAAAAACCAAACAACTGCACTTAGAAATTAATACAAAACAGAAATGTAGCGGCCGTTTCCTGCCAATTTGGTCCAATTTACACTAACAGCCTGACTTGCTGTGTTCCCTGATGCTATCGACTTAGTGATATATTAAGTAGTGAAATGCTCCTGAAGTTTTCGCCCTCACCTGGCAGCAGAAGACTGCAGATCAGCCTGCAGCCGCTCGGCCCGCTGCGTCTCATTCCTCAGTGACTGGAGGAGCTGGCTGACGGTCATCTCCTCACTGTCCATCCGGGACGCCGTCATGCTCAGTTCTGGACGTCTGCTGCGCTCTGTACCACACACATCATTCACACCAGCGACGCCTCCATCCTGAGAGGAAAAACAAATTTGATGTGGAATACCCTGGATGTCTGAAACAGGACAACTTTGAAGGAAATACTTATAATACAAGAGCATCTTTCTCATTTTCTTTAATACATGCATGCACGTGTGTTGCTCTTTACCGAGACCCTGATGACCTCGATGAAAGAGTCATTGTTTGAGTCCTGGTCCGCCTTCAGCTGCAGCTCAGAGTTCATGGCCACCAGGTCATTCTTCTCTGCCTGCAGGCGAGCAACCTGGGCACGAAGGGCATCCAGCTCTGCACTGTGATTGAGTGACGTCGCCTGGAGATAACAACACATTGAGTAGTTAAGGGGTTAATGTGGTTACAATTTGACAGAAACTTATTATCTAGTGCAACTTAAAGGGTAAGGCTGGTATTTTCAACCTGGATCTTATTTTCCCATGTTTTGGTGTTTAATGGGAACACCAGTTTTTGAAGTTGGTCCAGCAGAGTCCGAGGAGTGCAACGTAATTGCTCAGTCACCGTCAATTTACATTTAAAAGTGCTTGTTTTTGCCACTGACAGGCTCTGATTATTATTTTAAGTGTCTGAAAAGTTTACTGAAAAGATCCTTAAAGAGACATGCCATGTTATTAAAGAGTAAGATCCTTTTTCTTAAACCAGAAAGAGCCCTGAAATCGCTATTACCAAAACCCAACAGACTCCATTTAAATAAACAGTTATTTTATCTTTGTAAAACACACTCAATTCTAAGACAATAGACACCAAAATAACACGAAAACTGTTGTGGCTCTTCATACCACTGTTTCAACATTCACCAGCTCTGGTTTGGTTGAAATAAACCCTTAACTCATCCAGTTCGATGTGAAAATATGCTGCCTCTGTACCACCTAAATAAATGTTTATTTAAATGGAGTCTGGTGGATTTGGCGATGGCGATTTCAGAGCTTTTTCTGGTTAAACAAAAAGGATCCGACTCAGTTACAAAACAGTCTATCTCTGTAGGGATCCCTACCACAATGTTATCAGTCAGTTATAATGATAATCTGAGAGGTCTTTTTTGTTTTCTTTTGTTTAGTTTTTGTATTGTTTTAATACACGTCTTTTTCCCAGATGGCACACTTAAATGGGTGATTGTACTTGTCTCTGATACAAATGTTGTATAATCCTGCAAAATCCAATAAAGGGATTAGAAAAAAAGGTTAATCTGAGCCTGTCAGTGGCAAAAACACGTTTAGTGGATGCAATTTGAGGGTTCCTACAGTTGTTGCACTGCAGCCTGTTTCACTTCTGTTAGCTGCGGCACTCTTGCTCAACACCACACCGATTTTAAAAATGGTTGTTCCCATTACTCACAAAAACTCTGGAAAATTGGGTCCAGGTTGAGTAACACCGAAGTGACCCTTTTACGTACAATGAGACAGACAAATCTCAAACGAAGATATATAAAATAAAATATACAATATTATGATATATCACAAATAAGTGGGAATATCAAGGTTACATCCTCACCAGCAAGCCTCCCCCTGTCTTCCCCTCCTCTATCCTCTTGGTCAGCTCCTGGTTTTGGATGGTCAGCGCCTCCATTCGGCCCCGAGCCTCCTCCAGCCTGCTCTCCAGGAAGTCCCGCTCCTCCCTCTGCTTCTGCCGCCACACAGACAGACCCTCGAAACGCTCCTTCATCGACAGGTTGGTCTGACGCAGGGCCTCTGAGTGACAGACAGATGGAGAATGTAAATAAATACACATTGTACTAGACAAGTCATTTGTATTATCTCCCTTTCCACAGTGATTAGGCCTTAACTGTCCCAACACACTGCTCCAGCTGGTCTATCAGACTACAACGCTGAGACTCCACCCTGACGTGGGCTGTCAGGAACGCAATGTACACTGACCTTTGACCCTGGACACTTGGGCAAGACCTGATAAGAGTATAAGACTGGAAAACTCAAATAAAAAACATTTTCCTCACTAAATCACACCTACTCTCACCTTTCAGGTCTCGGTTCTCCTGGATGAGGATGTTCATCTGCTGAAGGGTTTCCTCCAGCGTGCCAGACTGGCTGGGAGAGCGAGAGATGTCGCCGTTCATCATGGGGTCTCCAGACGCCATGACGCTGAGAGGAAGAAAATAAAGGAGGAGACAGAGATATTTAATCTTGTCGGTAGTTTGAATATTGATAAAGTACTGCTAATGGCAGTAACTATCAAGAGTAATAGTGCGGTAGCAGAAATGAAAACACAGTTTACATCCTTTAGTTCTTGTTTCATCTCAACTGTGACAAACAAGATTTAAATATATTATAGTCAAGACAAGTGACTTATTTTTGATCTTGATAGATTGATAATGTGTGTGGAGATGGTGGGATTTACTTCACACACTTCAAAATACTATGTATATGTTTGCCTTTAAACAAATAAGAATGACTCCATTTTGTTTTTATTTTACATAATTTAATGTCAGAATTAAAAACATCATATAGAAATAGGGAATTTGGACCATTAATTTAAACCCATTCACGTTTCTCTGTCTTCTTTATTTTACTTACGTGTTGTCATGTCAACAAAGCATAAAAAACGCCCCATGCTGACATCATGACGTGACTCAGTGCTTCAGCATGCAGTTATCTCAGCAGCAGGTCACATGCTAGTTTAATTACATTACATTAACAGAGACAGCAGTGTGTTATACACACACTTCTGCCCTCACACAATGACTTCCTGAATGACTGTCACAAATTAATAATAGCAGATATAATGGCTGAACTGTAGCTCACTTCAGGAATAACGTGCTACTGTGAATACCAGAGAGATACGTGCTACTTTAACACCACCATAGTGAAGTATAGACACTCTGTCGCACTGTAAAAATGTTATAAATATGTATTTTTTAATGTATAGTCGTATAATTTTACTTTCACTTTCTCTAGGTGGGCCCATCCGGTGTGCGACTTACTGGTAAACACTGAAAAGTTACCAGTAACTTATACAACACGGATATGGCTTCACCTGAGCCAAACTGCGTCACAGCAAAGGTTAAAAACCAGAATAAATGTTTAACTCACCTGTTGTCAACTCGGGAACTAAACACAGGCTGGATGTTTACTCCAAAAACACACACAAACACTCTGAGATGGTGAAATATGTTGATCAACCTTGTGCTACTGCTTCTGGTGTGTAGCAACGTCAAGTCACGTCCGGAAACAGGGCGCTTCCGGTTATTATTTTCAGAATAAAATCACAATTTGTCAACTTTTTTTTGTCTGAAAAAGGTACAAGAACTATCCTATTCAAATGTTTGCTTCTTCTTTTAGATTTTTTTCTTTCCATTAAAGATATTGTTTTAAGTTTGTTTTTTTATTGTTCACTAATGTAATTTAATTTTGGTTGTAAATGGTCCCTCTGAGATTAACAAACTGTTTTGAATTAAACTAAAAGCTATCAGTCACCCAACAGAAACAGGGGGAAAAGCCACAATGTGATGGAAAAGAAATATGCAATAAGTAGACTAAAACAACTCAAGTCTGATAAAATTTAGTTAATGACACAAACAACATAATCTTTCTTTCTATTAACCTACAAACTGATTATTGCAAAGTTGAATAGATAAAACTATCATCTGTGTAATCGATGTGTTTGATAGCAGTGACCATTTACTAAGCTATGAAAATTTAGATCTGTGGTTGGGGCCATCCCCGCAAGTTTATACCACCATATGTCACCATAAAAAACACATGTCTCAATAAATAGGGGTCAAATAAAAATAAATGAAATAAAACATAGTCAGACATCATAGAGAGCAGAAATTGACAGACTGAAACTGACCAATAAAGAAAGCAAGAAAAAAAAAAACAAGCCCACACAAACAGAGAGATTGCATTTAAAATCAAACAGGAGACAAATTACCAAACAGCAGGCTATCATGATGTGTGGTCGATATACCTTTCTTGTTATTACTTCATTGAATAAAAAAAAATCTATAAAAAAAATTAAACAGAGGAATGATTTTGCAAATTTAGATTTGTGTAAATGAAATTAACCTTGCAAGATCATGAGGTTTGTCATAAAATTCAATTAATTAACACTACTTCCAAAATAAAAAAATAACATCTTGTGAGACTGAACTTAACAGAGTGACCAGTTTTTCTAAAAATATATGTTCCCAAATCTGTCCAAAACTGAACAGAATGTGAACAACTGTAAAACAAATGTATCAGTGTTTCAGGTTCACTGTTGCAAAATGTATATTTCCATCTAAATCAGCAAATCTCAAGACCATAATATTAGAAGGGAAGAAATGATTCAATGTCACATACTTGCCAGTTCCAAAATGATTTCCCTCTTGGTGAGATTTTTGTTTGAGAAGAAAAACATTGTCTTATATGTTCATTAGTACATTTTCAATTTGTAATATCTATCCCATTTATGGGTAACACAGGTTCTATTCTTAACCAGGTAAGTCCCGTTGAGATCAACGATCTCTTTTACAAGGGAGACCTGGCCAAGACAGGAGCACAGCCAAACAAAAATAAAAAACATAAAGTAAATTATTCACTGTTTTCAATACAGTTGAATTTAAAACAAACAAACAAATAAACAAACACACAAACAGGCAAAAAACCGAAGGCACTGACCAGATTACATTTCACTAAAATGATACACCATGATTTCATGTGACCTATTAAACTAACTGAGTGATTGATTGATTTTTGATTTTTTATTTTTTGGACTACCCTAACAATTAATTGGTCTTAAAAACCTGTTATATTTAATCAACTTCAAGTTTAAGCTCTTATTTTGAAAGCTTGTTTTCAGTGCTTCCTGTCCACATTGAACTAACCATCGCTGGCTCGACGCAGTGGCTCTAACGAAGGTTTTCATTTCCTCGAAGTGACGTCGCAGAGCAGTGAGCAGATCTGAGTGTGATTAACAGCAGCTGCGGATGAACACAGCCGCTGTGCGCCAGATCCATCCGCATGTTTTACACATCAGTGTTAGCCTGACAGCTGAGGGCGGGACATCAGCTGACAGCGGGAATTCCCTTTAGGAGTCACCTTGCTGCTCTTTGAAAACGAAATAGGAAAGACTGGAGACTCCCTAAAACGCCCTGACAGACACGTTCATCTGTTTAGATCTTGGGAAATATAAATTATAATTATTAACATATATCCTGGTGTAAAAGCTGGCAATATTGTTTACAAAATCACATCAAGGTCACTATTGAATATTAATGAATCACAATAAGCCCTCCATTTTTTTTGCTTTAGTCCAAACTTGAGTAAAAAGCAACCTATTAAGGCAAATCTAAAATATCAAAAGCATTTAGCTATTTTATTTATTTAGATAATCCATTATATAAAATGAAAATACATACATGCTGTCCCTGCCAGTGTCCATTAGATGGCAGTGTTTTCTTAGCAAAACTGAAAAAATTAAACATTACCACCACTGAAATGCTGGCTGAGGTGAAACGAAACTGCTTGGGTAGCAACTCTATCCCAAATCAGGTCCTAATGATAGTGTATCACAAGCTCTGTACACTGTAGGGCCAACCTTTCTGCTGTTTCATGGAGCATTTCAAACAAGAGCAGCTGACAGGTCATTATAGCATCATGGTTTCTGTATTTGGCGCAGTAGAGATTTAATAGCCCATTGAGCTGCATGCACATTCACAGGAATAATGACTGCCATTATCCTCATATTATCTCATGTGTCCCACTGTTGACTACTGTAATCAATCGGTGATGTCATTGTGAAATTCATCCAGATTATCCACTTGGAACCTCCTCAAGGAAGAACTTCTCCAGGGAAGCTCTCCATCAGTAGGACCCACTTTTCTATTTGACTGGGACTGATAGGTTTTCCCCTCTCTGATCCTTTTGGATGCTTTCAAGTGCGCTACCGGAAAAATGGAAACTTCTTAAGAGTTGCATCCAAAGCTGTGGAAGCCCATTTCCACCAGTTTGATGAGAAAATAAATGTTTTCTAAGTCATTATGATGAGAAAGTTTTTGCAAATAAAGACTTTGCATTTCATAAATAATAAGTTAGTGAAAATATTGACATAGTATTGTTTCTCATTATTTTTGAGATACTTATTAGGCTATTTTTAAATACCCAAGTCATTAATTTGAGAGTGTATCATTATTTTGAGTTACTGAGTCATAATTCTGAGATACTAAGTTATTCATTTGAGAGTTTATTATACAAAATGATTATTTTTAAATACGCAAGTCATTAATTTGAGATACTAACTCATTATTTTTGAGGTACTAAGTCATAATTTCTAAATAAGCAAGTATTTAATTTGAGAGTTTATCAATTTTTTGGAGTTACTGAGTCATAATTTTGAGATATTAAGTTATTAATTTGAGAGTTTATTATACTAAATTATTATCTTTAAATAAACAAGTAATTCATTTGAGAGTTTATCATTATTTTGGGATACTATGTCTTTATTCTAAAATAAGTGAGTCATTGTTTTCAGAAAGTTTATCATTATAATAAATTTCAGGATTTATTTCTTTCATCACACTGGTGGAAATAAGCAAAAATAAAATAAAGTAAAATAAAAATAAAAATAAAAATAAAAATGCTTGCAGTTTGCCAAAATAGCCACCGTCACCATTTATTTAAATTTGGTTACATTTAGAAAATAACTAAATCACGATTCATTGATATACCATTTGCTTTACAATGTTACGGACATAATTGAGTTCAACAGGTATCAAGTTTAGCAACCTTATTATTCTACAACTAGATAGCACTTGAGCGCCCCAACCAGTTCAAATGAAACCTGCAAATGTCGGAACGTCACATCAGTCCTTGAACGCAGCACCCGTGCGCTCTGGTGCAGCTTGACGCTCCCACAGCGGACAGATGAGGTGGGAACACTGGGAGCGCTGCAGCAGGTTGGAGTAGTTTGTGCAAATGGCCATGACTGCTGAGTTCTCTTTAAGAGTGTGAAGGTGAGAAGATCTGAGTCTGTGCAGGTTTACTCACCAATTTTTTGGTCAAGTGGAGCATCCTAAAGTGCCCATGTGACCATCAAGAGTTTAGTTCTATAAACGCAGCTTTTCCAACTCACTTTTAGCAGCTTGGATGCTTGAGGACTCTGACACTCAGCTTAAACAGTCAGTTTGGATCAAATAGGAACATTTATTTTTCTCCACTAAAGCATCACCACAGGGTTTACAAACTCCCAGAAGCTTCAGGATGTTTTCCACAGCTCTCCTCCTCGCAGCGCTCGGCGTTTTTACGCATTTGGACACTTTTACGCACGGGTGCCAGCTTCCCTCCGAGTGGCGGCCGCTGAGCGAGGGCTGCCGGGCGGAGCTGGCGGAGATCATCGTGTACGCCCGCGTCCTGGCGATCCACCGGGAGCCCCTGGGCGGCGGGGCGGGCAGCCTCTACAACTCGCTGCCCTTTGGGTTCGGGTATGGGTACGAGGGCGCGGAGGAAGGGCTGCTGTACTCTGCTGAGGTGGAGTTGCTGTGCGACCAGGCCTGGGGCAGCATGCTGGAGGTGCCGACTGGATCAAGGCTCAACTTGACCGGGCTTGGATACCTGTCCTGCCAGTCCCACACCGTGATGGAGAACTACTCCTACTTCTTCTTCCTCAGGTGAGGTCAAAGGCATGGACGCATTTATCCAAATAGTTTCAACAGACAGCTGGACACTAATTCAAACTGTACTCACAGCAGACTATAATTAAGTTTTATTGTTGCCATAAAACTTTTTACCAGACAGAAATGCGTTTTGCAAAATAGCAACTTGACACTAACACTCTAATAACTCCTCTGTGTTTCTGTCTTTTGTCTTTTATTGTATTTAAATATAATTTTGAGGTATACACTTCAGACTGCTGAAGTATTTCTATCAAGTGAGATTTGATATTTTGTACTTTTTATTCACTACATATCTGACAGCTGTGTTTATAGTTATTTTGCAAAGAACCTGCAAAGCAAACTACAGTTTTATTACAGTAAATATGATGCATTTCTAACCTATGCAATGCAGTTACAATGTAACATACAAAGCTGGACTTGATTTGGTTGAACAGCTACTGCACAACCCAATAACTCCTGCAGCAGCCTCAGCTTTCTGCTCAGTTTTCCTGTTTATCTCCTCTGCAGGATGGACGAGAACTACAACATCCTCCCCCACGGCGTCAACTTCCAGGACGCCATCTTTCCCGACACATCCGATAACAGACGCACCTTCTCCAGCCTCTTCCAGTTCTCCAACTGCACCCAAGGAAGCCAGCCTTTCCACACCTTCAGCCCTGAGTGGGACACCCAGGAGGACAGCAGGGTAAGGCTTCACATTGTTTCCACCACACACACATTTTTCTGTGTGTTATCGTGCAACTTTTTTCCCTTTGAATGTCTAAAACTAAAGCAAGAATTGTAACCCTGAGGACTGACATGCAACATGATTGGAGAGGTGGTTGCCATAGTGATGCTTGCTGCTTCCTTGAAAACAAAATGACTCCCATCTCCTTGTACAGCCTCATTAAATTCTGAAGAAATAAGCAAAAAAAAATCTCCTTCTTCACTCAGGTCAGCTTTTTTTGGTGTTTACAGAGGATGTAAACAAACCCGACACCATCTTGTTACCATGGAGATAACAGATTAGCAGTCCAGATAAACAGCAGGGTGCAGGGAACTGGAGGTGGGGGGTCGGCCAAGAACTATTGTTAAGGTTTTGTCTTTTTCAGTAATATGTACATATACTGTTGTCGCTAAAAAGTGAATATGAGTGCAGAGTGTGGAGGAAAAGTGAGGCGGCAGAGTGAGGTACGGTGTGTGTGTGTGTGTGTGTGTGTGTGTGGACACCTAATCCTGAGCTGAGTTGTGACTCTGCTGACAGGAATGTGGTGAGGATCAGTAGAAACACAGTTTAACTACCCTCTGGCACAGTGCAGAGCTACACAAACACCCACACACACACACACCCACACACACACACACACACACACACACACACACACACATTTAAAAATATCACCTCACTGTTCTTATCTTCAAAGGATTAACAAAAAAAACCAAGAACACTCACACACACGCACAGAAGACTTGATTATACTCTTAAAAGATTCCCAGCATGTGATTGGTCACATGCGATCACCTCCCAGCCTGTTGAAGATCAAAGCAATTGCTGATTGGACGAGGTCTCTCCATCTGGCTCCTCAGGCATACAGGATGCTGACCATCCAAAGGTCAAAGGTCAGATAATGAAAATCCACATCTCTGACAGGCCGCAGTTTGGAAGTGTGTCAGTCCGCAGCTTTGATTTACAACAGTATGAAGTAACAGCTTACTGACCTGGAATCAGAGATAAGCCAAACCTTGTCGACAGAAGAAGAAAAATCTGTTGCATTAATTATCACTCCTTCTCTGAGTGAGTTGAGCAGGTTGCACATCAGACAAGACAGAACACGGCAGCTGGAAATGGAACAAGTTTTTGCCCTCAGTTTGAAACCAGGGCATCTGTTTAGCTGTTGAAGATGTTTTAATTTGGTGGTACTGTTGTAGGCTTGAGACTCCGGTAAGAGTTAAGTCACAAGTTTGAGGCATGACTTGTTTGCCTCATGACTTGTTTTTAAGATTTTACTTAATTTAGAGCTGACTTCCTCAAGACTTGACTTTATCAGTTAAAAACTAAGACTTGGCTGCTTAAATCCTGGAACAGTATAAGAAAGATAGTGACTGACCTTGTATGGCCACAAAACTGCGTTTTGAACTGAAGTGACCTCACACTAACTAGAAAAACATTTTAACCTAATATCATGGTCAACATTTGGAGACCTGAAAGACTAACAATTGACTTGCATTCCTCACTGAATATTGGTTATTTCAGAGCTTTACTTTTACTTGTCTTAAATGACTTGAGACTTGATTTGGACTTGTTTCAGTTGACTTGAGACTTGATTTGGACTTGTTTCAGTGACCTGAGACTTGATTCAGACTTATTTCAGTGACTTTAGACTTGAAATGGACTTGTTTCAGTTGATGTGAGACTTGATTTGGACTTGTTTCAGTTGACTTGAGACTTGATTTAGACTTGTTTCAACTGATGTGAGACTTGATTTGATCTTGTTTCAGCTGAGTTGAGACTTGATTTGGACTTGTTTTAGTTGACTTGAGACTTGACTTGGACTTGTTTTAGTTGACTTGAGACTTGATTCGGGCTTATTTCAGCGACTTGAGACTTGACTTGGACTTGTTTTAGTTGACTTGAGACTTGATTTGTACTTGTTTCAGTTGACTTGAGACTTGATTGGATAGGCCATGAAAGATTAAAGAGTTAACTTAGATTGATTTCCATTGACTCAATAGTTCACTTGGACTTGTCTTAAACTATTTTGACTTTACTTCATTGACATGAGACTTAAACTGGTCCCAAATTACTTGAGACATGACTTGGACTTGTTTTAAATGACCTTGAGCTTGACTTGTCTCCACTGACGCAAGAGTTGACTTGGACTTGTTTAAAATTAATTTTGACATAACCTTACTTCAGTGATTTGAGACTTAACTTGAAGCAGTCCCAAATGACTTGAGACTTGAAGTTGTCCTGAATTACTTGTGACTTGACTTGGCCTTGTTATAAATGACCTTGGGCTTGACTTGTCTCCGCTGATGCAAAAGTTGACTTGGACTTGTCTCAAATTAGTTTTGACTTTACTTTACTTCAGTGACTGGAGACTTAACTTGAAGTGGTCACAAATGACTTGAGACTTGAACTGGTCCCGAATAACTTGAGACTTGACTTGGCCTCGTTATAAGTGACCTTGGGCTTGTCTTGTCTCCACTGTTGTGAGAGCTGACTTGGACTTCTCTCAAGTTAATTTTGACCTAACCCTACTTCAGTGACTTTATACTTAACTTGAAGTGGTCCCAAATGACTTGAGACTTAACTGGAATTGGCCCCAAATGACTTGAGACTTGACTTGGGTTTGTTATGAATAACCTTGGACTTGACTTTTTCTCCGCCGAGTTGAGACTTGGACTTGTTATCAGTGAATTTTGGAACGACTTGTCTTGAATAACACAAGACATGATTTGCATCAAATGAATCTTGACTTCACCTGTCTTATTGTCCTGAGACTTAAAATGGTCTCTTCTACAATTATTTCAAACTTGACTTGGACTCACCTCCATTTGTCTCTCGTGACTTGAAGCTTCTTGCACTTGTGCTATATGGGTTTTGACTTGTCTCAAAGGACTTGAGACTTGAATTGGGCTTGCCCTAAGTAACTTCATTGACTTGCATTTTTTTTGTTAGATTTGTGTCCACTGATATGAGCCTGGACTTTGACAGGTCTCCTTTGATCTGATGTTAGACTTTGACAAATCTCCATTGACCTGAGCCTTAGCGTTGGCCTTATCCCCATTGACCTGACGTGGACTTGCCCCAACAGATGACTCAAGTTGTATCCAGAACTGGGGAAAAAGTCATACTGAAAAAACATCACACAACAGCATCATTAGGATCATGAAAGTCAATGGAAGATCAATACATTTGGACCTATTTGTGTAGAGTGTCACAGACACTGTTCAGATCAATACCTGTTAGGGATGTTGCACCTTGCTCCTGACTGACTTGAACGCTACCTGCAGCAGACAGAATGACGTGATTAATTGCTTCCTAAATGGATTTATGGCATTTGTTTATTGTCGACAGTCAAAACTGAAGAACTGAACCAGGAAAGGTGTTATGGTCTGGTGTCTTAGCTCTCTTTGGGTTTGACCTGCATGGTCTGAGCTTTATGGTCAAAGGTCAGTGACGTTGGGTTTAAAGACGCTGTTCATTTAGAGGACATGCACTCGCATGTAGAGGCCACGACCTCCAGGGCGGCCGGGACAAAACAGGTGTTTTGCTCTAGGTATTTATGGAGGATGATGAGATGGAAGGACCCTCTTCTTCCTCTTCATGCCTCTCTTTACCCGTCCATGTTTCTCTGCCTTCTGCATCAGATTTAAAACAAAAGAAAAACTCTCTTTTCTTTCTCTCCTTCCATTTTACGTCACTGTAATTAAAATTTAATTAAAACCAACAAGATCTGATGTCTAATTTCACTGTCTGTCTATCTATCTATTGCCAAAGGATTTTGGAGGTGTTTCCTTGGCTGAATCCTTCTCTCAGTGCTTTGAGGTTCTGAGACATGATTTAGCTGAAGTTTAAACACAAAACATCCCTTAAAATTGGAGCTGGGAGGTTGTTTGCTTCTGGTTTCAGCCTCATGGGAACCAGACGCCCCTCCAAAAGGATAAACTGGAGACTTCCTCCACTTTTCTGCCAGAGCCTTCAATTAGCTTTTGTTAAAGCCTCCTCTTATCAGCAGCACTCAGAGCAGCTTTAACCACGACACTGCTGTAAACCGGCTGTTCATCTGTTTAATACAGATTTCTTTTTACCCCTGAAAGATATCCCATCTAATTTCTGATATTTTTTTAGGTCCTTTATCCTTCACCTACAAGATGAAGGCAAATTCCTCGAATAGGCCTATGTCTCCATCAGCAGATTTGCATGTTTACATGCCTTCTAGTGATTTGATCATGACCACAGCAGGGGAACGCTACAGTAGTAACAGTCATATAAACACCTTTAACACGTTTTCTGACTCTCATTAAGAATTTTATGTGGACGCATAGAGGGATAAAAGGAGGACAACACAGTCTGCCTGTTTCCCTCAGTAGTTAAAGCTCCCACTTTGTCTGTCTCGTCTTTGTTTTCCTTTTTCCCTCTGCCTCCCTTTTGTTCTTTTTATCTCTTCATCGCTCACTCGCTCTTTGTCTTTTTTCCTCTTTTTGTCTGTTTTCTAATCACCCATCCCTACGCACGCACACACACACACACACACACACACACACACACACACACACAAAGCAAAATAAAACCTCAGGAGAAGAGGAGAAATCCTGGCTTGTCTCTTTGACGTCAATAGTGAAGCTCTAAAGGCACTGAATGTGTGTGTGTGTGTGTGTGTGTGTGTGTGTGAGTGAGTGGGGTGGACTCATGCTGAGTTTCTATATACAGACAGAAAAACGAATCAAAAGCCTGTAGAAATAAACGAGCAGTCAGGTCAGGCTGGAAACACACATAAATACACACGTCCCCCTAAAACCCTCTACTCTCTCATTTGTTTACAATATCTTTTCTTCATTATTCCTCACATAAAAGTTCCAGTATTAAGTTTTGCTATTATGGATGTGTGGAGAGGTAGAAACGTGGGCAACGTAGAGATGTATCCAACTAAAGGAATCCATCTAACCCTTGCCTCTCTGTTGTTGACAGCAAATGGTAAACATTACAGATGACAGGTTCATACTTGTATTTAAGTTTTCTACCAAAACATGTTTACATGTTTATGTGTTTTAACGGTCAAAAAACACTTTATTTTCCTCATACAGTCTGTGCTGGAACACCTGTATTCACTCTCTGTCTGTGAAGGCTCAGCTTTAGCGCCTGTCTCTTTAAGCCCCCTTCCCGAAAACAGCCCAGTCTCCTATGATTCATCATTGTTTCCAGGTCGTCCGTATCTCAGCGTCTGTGCACCGTCATTGCAGCCAGGAAATGACTATCACAAAGAATAACCAAAATTACATTTTTTCCTTGTTAGCATGTAGCTACATGTACATTAGCAATGTACTCGCAGCTGGGGAATGACTGTAACGGAGAATAGCGGAGCTTTCTACATAGAAAATCAAGAACAAAAGTTTTCAAACACATCCAGACATGGTCCAGCAGGAATATGATAAGAAACTGGGGAGACATTTACAACATCAGAAACAAAGTTTACAGGTTTCTCTGACATTAGCATGTAGTTTCATGTAGCATTGCAAGCTACGTAATGTAAACACTTGCAGTAGCGTGCCTGGAGCAGATGACCATAAGAAATCAGGCATGCTATGATGAGTAGAAAAATTGGTATTGAGAATTATATTAATTTAATTATTGACCAGATATGTTACATGTTAGCGGGACTATTTTTAATGTTGTTAATATTTCCTGTAGAAAGTCAATGTTTTGGCCACACAGGGCAAAACATTTACATATTTTCTCCTTATGAAGTTGACATGGCAATCATGTTAGCAACAACTGTTAATTTATACAGTAAATGTGTAAGAGTGTAAAACTGTTGCCCAGCAGATACGGGGCAACACTGCACAGCACTGGAGTTGTGTTTGTGGCCACCTAATACAAATGTAAGTCCAGTATTCGCTCTCTTTTTAGCTAGGTTTTGGTCTTCACCAACTCCTCAAGGAAACATCTGGCTCGTTAGCTGCTACATGCTCCACTGTTGTTAACAGCTACTAACTAACGGTGGTGACAACTTTCTGCTGAGGCTGGGAACCATGATGAGAGTGGTGAGACTAAAAACCAAAAAAATTAGCTGAAAGATACTAAAATGCTCCATGGCACTGAAAAGAAATTGCAAAGGTGGGTGATAATTAGGCTACCTGGGTTTGTCACAATGAGCGCCTCTTTTCATTTTACATGCAGTCATTTTATCTGTTGTGTAGCACAGCTTTAAATGCATTTTAACTCTTGACATTCTGCAGCCTTGATAGTTTTGTTCCATCCATCCATCCATTTTAATCCATTTATTCAGGGCTGGGTTGCCAAGGCAGCAGGCCAAGCAAAAAACCTCAGAAGTCCCTCTCCTTAGCAAAGCTTTCCAACTCCTCCTGGGGGACCCCAAAGCATTGCCAGGCCAGATGAGATATGTAATCCCTCCAGTGTGATCTGGGTCTGCCCCGGGGCCTCCTACCAGTGGGACGTGCTGGGAACATCTCTAACGGGTGGCGCCTTGGAGGTATCCTAATTTGATGCCCGAACCACCTCAACTGACCCCTTTCGACACGAAGGAGGAGGGGATCCTAGCTCCCTCCTGATGTCTGTGCTCCTCACCCTATCTCTAAGGCCGAGCCCAGCCACCAGAGGAAACTCATTTCGGCCACTTGTATCCACAGTCTCATTCTTTTTGGCCACTTCTCAAAGCTCATGACCACAGGTGAGGGTTAGGATGTAGATGGACCAGTAAATCGAAAGCCTTGCCTTCCAGCTCAGCTCTCGCTTCACCACGACAGTCCAGCACCCTGGAGGCCTCCCAGGCAGGCTGAGCAGTGTGATACCCCAATAATTGGAGCACACCCTCTGGTCCCCTTTTATAAAATTTGGACCACCACCCCAGTCTGCCACTTCACTGGCACTGTAGCCAACCTCCACTCGACACTGAAAAGGCGTGTCAGCCAAGACAGCCCAGCAATGTCCGGAGTCTTCAGCATCTCAGGGCGAATCTCATCCACACCTGGTGCCTTGCCTCTGGGGAGCTTTTTGACTACCTCAGCAACCTGAGGTCAGGGATGTGTGCCAGGGATATGAACGAGAGTTCCCCAAAGTTTTCACATTCTGCCTCCTCCACAGAGGATGTGATGGCCAGGTTCAGGAGTACCTCAAAGTACGCCTTCCACTGCTTGACACTATCCCCAGTCTGGGTCAGCAGCTGTCCTTCTCTGCTGAGCACAGCCTGAGGCAAACCCTGGCTTCCCTCCCTGAGGCATCTCATGGTTTGCCAGAACCTTGAGGCCAACCGAAAGTCCTTCTCCACTGCTCTTCTTCAGTCTTTCTTTAACATTTTTGTACACTTGAATATGAGGACATTTTGTACATGCATGTGTGTGTCTTCACATGTCCCGTAAGTTGTGTTTTTACAGATGATGCTAAACAGCAGGCAGGTAACACCCGGATGTTTTGACAGGTGGTGAGTGTTAGTGTGTGTTGGGGGCGTCCCGCTGAGAGCCTTCCTATGAGCATGAGAAAGGGTTCAAACTCTAAAAAAAATGTACCAGTGTTACATAATCTGGATTTGAATTTTGTTTGGATAAATGGGTGGGAAAAGATTTCCCTTAAAGGGTTATTTCACCCAAATTACAAAAAAAAAAAAAAAAGGTTCGGGTTGTCCATGCCTTATTCATCTTTGAAATGAGGATGCTTCCACTGCAGTAAAATGGATATGAAGGAAACATACAGCAAGAAATGAAAATTACATTTTAAAAATTCAACAGCAGGGCGTTCCCTTGACCTAGACCATGACCAAGCCACATACCATGTAATTGCAGTGCCCCTGGTTAAATTCCAGCAGGAGACCTTTGTTGCATGTCAAAACCCCTCTTTCCAGCAACAGTATTGTCATTATTGAATGATCCACACAGACCTCACTGTTAACAGTTTTCACACTGTTTCTTCCGTAAAAAGAAGCCCCAATGAAATGCTAAATCTTTGCATATCTCAATGTTTTAGAATGAAAAGTACATTTTACTCATTATATATTAAACTAAATATTTACACAAGAGTGATATCTATCTTCTCATTGGGCCCTTGGCAAAAATGAGGCCAAGTGTATTTGCTCAAATGGCAAATCTAATTATTAAAACTGGCACCAAGACACACCTTAGAAACACTTTGAAAGTAAGTAGTGAAGGCATTAACATCATATTCTGTGGCCATCTGAGGCTGGTGTGAACAGGCCACAGCAAGTTCTTTTGACAGGATGTGAATGTGTTCTTCATTGCCAAAAGAGACAGAAAAAAAGTATCATTAATATACTGTCTGTTACTTCAGTGCATTTAGCAAAGCAAAAAATATCCAAGTAAGTACACTGACTCAAATACAGAATACAATCAACACATAAGTTCTGGTCATATTGGTGCTGTTGATTCTACTGTGTTTGTTAGCAAAATGCTAGTGGGACGCAAGGAACAATTAGCATTACAGGGACAGTTCGGATTTTTTGAAGTTGGTTTGTCTGACCTTCTTGTCCATAGTCAGTGCAGTACCTACAATAAATGATGGTGGACATGCCCCCAATTTGGAGAAGCAGACAAGAGTACTGCCACAGGTTTCGCTAGGTTTGTACATTCGTCTGACTAAGTGCTGTCGTATATGAAGACACATGCATTTTCCACTGTGACTACAATGGCACTCACCCCTGTTAACCCTGCTGGTTGAGGTCAGCTCTGGTCTACCCAAGCACATGACCTTTGCATCGTCAGGGAGAGAAGGGAGGTCCATGGGGTGATACATTTATGTTACACAGACACACATAAACATGGTCCCCCAGTGTTTTTGCTCTGGTAGAGAGCCTGTGGGGATAAACATAAATGACAAGGGTCAGGACCTACGCTTTATGTCCCCATCCTCCCTCCTTACAAGTGGGGTTTTCTTTGCAGAGGAGAACAAGCAAGAGTAGGGGAGAAGCAACCGTACTGTGGACATCAAAGGGAAAAAGATTTTCTCATTTTCTCAAAGGGGCTGCTGGGAAACCCACATCACCAGTGCTCCCACACTATAAAACCAGCTGACAAGATGGCAACTGCCGGTTTACAACAGTTTGCTTTGCCTGTTAAGAAAACAACCCTTGCTGTATGTTAACTTTCCCTCTCCTCCCTTTCTCCAGCTGCTGTGTTCCTCGGTGCAGGCTGCACTGTTCGAGGAGGAGGAGCGAGGCCGCAAGATGCAGGAGCGCCTGGCCGCTGCGGAGAGGAGGAACCGGCAGCTGAAGGAGCGCGTTCGGAAGGTGAAGCGCTCTCTGAGAAACACCCGCAAGGCTGCGCGCAAGGCAGAGCAGGAGGCGCAGGAGCTGCGAGAGAAGCTGAAGGCTGCGGAGCGGAGGGCGGGGCATCACCTCAATGCCATAACACAGGAGGAGCCTCCACCAGGCCGTTACGCAAGCACGACGATACGCAAGAGAATGCAGCTTTAACGAATCCCACCTGCCCCAATCTTCCACCCACCTGGACTGAAAACCGTGGTCGTGGAGAGCGAGAGACTGCTGGGCGGTCTCTATGTAAGGGACAAACAAATAGCAACTGTCACATATGAGTAAACACACCTTAAAGTTATAATCTCCATAACTTTCCTGTAAATAAACTAGTCCTTCCTTTTGTATCCCTGATTGCTATCACACAAGAGTGACCGTCAGGATCATTCCTGGTCAACTGACAAAAGTTCAAGAAGTTTCCTGAAAGAGAATCAACCATTTATTTTCTCTATGATTACTCTCGTAGGTGGAGCAGCACTGTAGCTCTGCTGCCTTCTACAACTGGATTCAGTTGCTGCTCAATGCTCCTCTCAGGCCGTGATCACATAGGATGTGTTTCTGCTCCAATACAAAGCACAGCTGTGAGTGACAAGAGTTACAGTGACGGCAGGAGCTTATTGGAGTGCTGGTTTCCCCAACCCTACATAAAAGAAGTTCATATGTTAAAACTATTGGTGAGGTCCATTTATGCTGGAGCAAGACGAGAAGAGAGAAATAAGAATTTGGTGAAAGGGGTACACCACCTATTTTACAAGTCGCATGGTGAACCAACTAGGCAGTAAAAGTGAGTGTTTTTTAACAACAGTTTGCAACATGGCTGTGTTAGCGACCGAACAGGATATTTTAAGCCCAAACATGATCTTTTCCAAACTCTAACCAAGTGGTTTTTGCCCCAAAACCTAACCACACTTTAACCACAGCATTGTGGCAACATAAAATTAAAATTGTAATGTAAAGAAACATAAAGTTTCAACATAGTCACTATATACAAAATGTACAAATGTAACAATTGTAACAAAAACTTAAAATGTCAGCACTATTCTTGTGATTGAGTTGAGTCAGGTTGATATGAGTAACTTGTTAACAAGCAGTCCCTTACGAAAGTCCATGATGTTTGGTCATGGACTTTCGACATCCAGATACGACATGCAAGGTACCCTGGATGCATTGGTTGTTGATGTTCTGGGACTCTGTGTCAAGTTATGCCTGTTACATGCATTGTCTTTTTTCAAAATACACAGAAAATTTAACGTTTACATACAGTCTCTTTAAAAATAAACACACTACATTGGTATAACACCGCAAATTTACATTTTTTTTCCCTTCAACAACAAACACACATGGTTGGGTTTAGGAAAAAAGAACAGGGTTTGGTTTTACAATCTTACAGGACGCAAACGCCGCTCTCCTGGGTGAAAGTCAGTGTTTGTTGGAACCCACCCACCACCCTTCCCTCCTGCCCCACTGGGACTTATGCCGCCTTAACTTTTCATCTTGCCCCGCAGCATTTCCATCTGACACCACTGGGCCCCGTTAAACTCTAACGGCAAGCAGCTGTGTATTATGCCGACGTTGAAGGACACCTTTTTTCATTGGTACCTGACGCTACAAGTAACTGCCCAAGCGCCATATGTCAATGACCTCAGAGTGAGACCGGGGTGAGACATCCAGTATTCATTTGAACTTTTGCTTCTGGCAACCTGGTGAACGCCAGTGAAAAAAATTATCTATGTCTTCAGCTGAAAAATGTTCGACTTGTTCGTAGGCTAGTTGCTAACTTTAGTCCGTTTGTTGTTCGGTGTTGGATGGGTGGTGTACTTATTCTTTTATTACAGAGAAGAGCCCCTGGCTGCAACTGGAAACACTGATGAGAGAGATTAGATTAAATCAAAACATTAAAGGTGCAGGCTGAAAAACAAAACTTGAGCTGAAAGATGCTAAAATGCTCTGAGTGGAACTGCAGAGTTGGGTGATAATTCTCTTTTGGTACCTCACTATAAGCAACCCTTTTCACTATACACATACTAATTTGACTCATTAATATAAACATTTTGATTATAACAGCTTCAAGTCATTGAATGAGTTGTAGTAGCATTTATAGTCTTTAGTTTATGCAGCTTTTTGCAACACATATTGTAGGACAACCTGCAGCAACCACACAACTGAAGTTAAACACAAAAAAAGACAAATTCAAAAATGCCTTTTATGTTTTCACGGCCTGTTGAAGCAATGATGTTGTGACTGTTTCTTTGACTGACATTGTCAGTAGTGAGTGGTGCAACTGAGAATGAGAATTCTGGGATGTTTGAAAAGGTTCATTTATTATTAAGTTGAGCTCTTTAAAGTCTGGAACATCAGCTTGTACATGGATATTTTTGTATGAATGTTTTTTCCGCATATAAAATTGAACTTGGATGAACATCAGTGTGAACGTGACAATGTCTGAGAGAAGACTATTAACATCTGGGTCAGTGGAGTACAAAAAAACAAATAGCCACACACACTCAGCGGTTGAGTTAAGCCCTACAGCATCACGCAGAGAGTGTAAAGAGAGGTTAAGGTCAGAGGAGACATTGTATATGTGTAGTACTTGAGGAGAGAGCGGTGTGTGTGTGTGTGTGTGTGTGTGTGTCTGGTCCATCAAGTGACTGGAATGTGTTTGTGTGGGCAGCAATGTTCCGAGCAGCAGGACGTCGCCGAAATATTCCTCTAATTCAGTCTGGAAAACCAAAAGCTCCAGAGGGAGGCGAGCAACTGTCACATCACGAGACCTCGGCGAATGCAAGGAAAACAAATCACCAAATGATAACAAAACGAGAGGCAGGGTGGATGGAGAAGGATGCAGAAAGAGAGAGAGAGGTGCATTCATCAAAAGCTAAATTGCAGCTTCTCTCTTGTGGCACATATTCAAAAGCTAAGTGATGGTGAGGTGATGATGAGGTGAATGTGAAAGCAGTGGTGGAATTATGACCTGCAGTTGTGATGAAGATGCTAAAATAACAAGATGTAGCAGACCCTCACTTTCTGGTCTATGCTTAGTTAGCATGTAAGTAACACAGGCACAGGAAGTACTTTATATCTTTGCAAACTCTGCAGCAGCCAATGTATTTTTTAACTAGAGTTCGAAACATTTCCAGCTGTGCTTGTAGTTACCACACTGGGTATCTGAAGCCCAGACATTATGTTTTCCTAACCCCAACTACATGGTTTTTGTGGCTAAGCATAACCACGTGTTAACCACAGTGCTGTCACCACATACAATAGACAACTAAAGGGTAAAGAAACACATGATTTCAACATGTCGGCCACATATGAGACAAACAAATGTAACATAATCACAGTCTGCAGAAACATACAATGTAATATTTAGTCTGGTGATTAAAGCCACTGAGTGCGTAATTTCAGGCTGGTCTCCTGCACTTGGTGTATGTTTTCCTATTAAAAGGATTGCACCAAAATTTGTACCTATACTGTGTAATCATGAGCCAGTTATTCTTGTATAATCCACATGTTTGGGAAGGCTGCCATCACGTGACCAATGTGCTGATAGGAGTAAATAATAAAGACGGAAGCAGTCTTGTTTGCTCAAAGGTTGGGGTGGTGTATGGGTCACAAAACGTTGGACTTTCCCCACAAGATTGGTGTTTATTTTTTTGGGCTTCTTTGTGTTTAACTGATGGGACAGTTGTTTTAGCATCAGGGGGAAGAGAGAGGGTGGATGACATGCAGCAAAGGGCCACAGGTTGGAATCAAACTAGCAGCCGCTGTGGCAAGGACAAAGACTTTGTACATGGGGCACCTGTTCTACCAGGTGAGCTAATGGGTGTCCCAACTGTGTGAACATTTTAAGGTATATTGTTGCAATGTTTCTTTTCTTTAGCCTAACCTCAATAAATTCACTTGCCTAAACCTAACCTCTCTAACTTTTTTTTTTTTTTTTTTAAATAACATAACATCATTTGTGGGGCATTAATTAGTATGATATTGTATGAATCGTTGAATGAGGATCGGTTGAGAATTTCTATGCCATTAAAGGAATACTTCACTCCCCAAATGACCATTTGTATATCAATTACTGACCTTGTGTTACGTTGAATTCATGAAAAAAAAAAAAAAAAAACGTTTTTCTAGCATGCCTCCATGGTGAATGAAGAATCCAAAAAGAAAAGGGAAATATATTGGTTCTATCCATCCGTCCATTTTCATCTGCTTATCCAGGGCGGCCGGGTCGTGGGGGCAGCAGGCCAAGCAAAGCATCCCAGACATCCCTCTCCTCAGCAACACTTTCCAGCTCCTCCTGGGGGACCCCAATGTGTTCCCAGGCCAGACGAGATATGTAATCCCTCCAACGTGTTCTGGGTCTGCCCCGGGGTCTCCTACCAGTGGGACGTGCCCGGAACACCTCCAGCGGGAGGCGCCCAGAAGGCATATCTAAGGCTGAGCCCAGCCACCCCACAGAGGAAACTCGGAAACTTGGCCACTTGTATCCGCGATCTCATTCTTTCGATCACTACCCAGAGTTCATGACCATAGGTGAGGGTTGGGATGGACCAGTAAATTGAAAGCTTTGCTTTCTGGCTCAGCTCCCTCTTCACCACAACGGACCGGCGCAGCATCCACATCACCGCAGAAGCCGCACCGACCCACCGATCCATCTCACGCTCCATTCTACCCTCACTTGTGAACTAGACCCCAAGATACTTGAACTCCCTCGCTTGAGGCAGTAACTCTCCCCCAACCCGGAGAGGGCAAACCACCGGTTTCCGACAGAGGACCATGGCCTTAGACTTGGAGGTGCTGACTCTCATCCCAACTGCTTCACACTCGGCTGCAAAATGCTCCAGTGCATGGTGTGATGGAGCCAACAGAACCACATCATCTGCGAAAAGGACTTCAATTCCCCAATTCTCTAGTTCTCCACGATGTTTAGAACAACCTACCTGCTGAGTTCCTTCAAAAACTTTGTGCAAGTGTACTGAGAAGAATTGATGTTGTTTTGAAGGCAAAGGGTGGTCACACCAAATACTAATTTGATTAAGATTTTTTTTACTTTTTTTTTTTTTTTTACACCTGCCTAAAACTTTTGCACGGTACTGTATATATATACACGCATATATTTAAGCAGCATCACACGAGAAGGAGTGATGTGTACTGTATATCGTCACGGCTGTGATTCGGTCGTAGGCACGAGGCCGCAGGCTTTTATACAACAGCTCAACAACAGCTTGAAGAGCAATGCTGAGTAAGGAAATGTTAACAAAAAGTGATGAAATAAATTATTTAAGTATGTTATGTAGCTCTGTGAAAAAAAAACAGTTCCCCCAGTCTGTTGCCAGGCAATGCAGCACACACACCGGGAACTCACAATCTACTTTGTGTTTACATTGATCTGCAACTGTGTAACTTCGTCCAGTTCGGCTGATGAAACGTTGGCAAACCTGGATGTTGGCACGGCCAGATTCAGCTTCCACTGTCCCTCATCCTCATCAGTTCCTCATCAGATGATCATTGATAATTCCTGACTGTGTTCGCTTCATTTTTGCTCCTCTCCAGTTTGTCGAGGTCGGCTGATGTCACACAAACACAGCTGGAGGTCTGCACAGAAGAGTCCTGGCTTTCCTTTTCCTCGTCCTCTCCTGACGACCACTCATGATTTAATTCAAATGTAATTTTGGGGAAAATATCCATCTTCTTGGTGTAACGCTAGTGTCAGTTTGTGTCAATGTAGCGAGTGTGACAGTTGGTTAATTAACGGCTGTATTTATATTTATAACACCTGTGAGCGGAGTGATTTTACTGTTACATGTCCCAGTGATGTTATACTCTGTATCAGCACTCACGGAATGCCTCTTGTCCAATATATATTA